GCCAAAGTAGACCTCTCTTCCTTTAACTCTGGGCATTTGGTATTTGTTCTTAGCAACCTGAAAAGTAACCGGGATACCCAGTTTGCCTCTGAGAAGTAGCAACTAACTAATCAAAGTTTCTAGGTTCCATTTTTTGCTACATTTTAAGGTCTGTTAAAAAAAAAGGTTTTATATTCCCTGGGAAGAATCTGTATAAGCCACTTTTGACTTTGCCTTTTCTCTTATACTATACCTCCCCATTCTTTCACTCCAAGATTAGTGGAGAATTGATTGCTTTATTTCACTGTGTTGAACTCCCCATACTAATTCTCTTTTCAATACCCTAAATTGCAGAACATTTGTTTGGCAGTGAATCTCAAACATCAAGGTATAAATGGTTACTATAGCATGTTTGGGAATAAAAGGCCTGTTTTAAAGTAGTGTTGCAGACTTTTTAAAAACATCATTTTGTATTTTAGATTTCAGCAGGTTCTCCCTAAATTGACCAAAATACTGTCCCCTTTCTTATAGCAATTTTATTTCCTGCTGTAAGTATTTAAGAATTTTAAAAGTCTACGATGCCATTAGCCTGTGCTTGTACTATACACATTGGGAAATGTCTGCTTTAGATCTGTTTAAACAACCAGGGATCCAGATGTAGTTGCTTAGATCTGCAGTCCCAGCTACTAGGAGGGCTAAGGCAGGAAGATCACTGAGCCCATGAGTTCTGGGACAACATAGAAAAACTCATCTCAAAAATAAGAAAGCAAACAGAAAACCGACAACACACAAATTAAATAGAAAGAAGAAAAAAAAGCCTATTAAATAGATTTTAGAATTAATGCCAGATTTTGTAATGGTCTTGGGCCATAATTTCTCCATAGTGATAAAGAAATACCATCATTTTATCAGTGTGTATCTAATTCTTCATCTAGATTCTGCATAGAAGAATTCAAACGATTTATGATGCTTCCACCATAGAAATCTTTTCACATTTTGCAAGCGATGCATCCCAATCGCTTTTAGTAGGAATAGTGATATGGAAATGACAGGGAGGACAACAAGAGCATTTCTCTGCCCCAGGGGATTTATACATTATCTTATTAAATGACACAGGAACTCAATGAAAAACGTTACCCTGCTTTAACGATCAAGAAGTGGCATTTTACCAAAGGAAAGGTCACAGTTGTTAAAATCTACAACTCAGTGGCTCAACCAGAATTCAAATCCAGTTTTGTCTGACTCGAAATACAATATTTGAGACTAGAACACTGCTGTGCAGGATCTGAAAATGAGCAGTGAAGTATTAATAACCCCTTGCTAGGGAAGTGTAGCCTTTATGGTGCCAGGTGTAGGTAGATGTGCTCGCTCCCTGAGGTCTGAGCTCTGAGCTCTGGGCGGCCCTGTGGCACTGGTATGGATGAGAAGTCATGAAGACACTTGTCAGGGATGGCCCTCCTGGCTGGGAGGTTTCCTGTTGGTCTATTTTAAATGCTTTGTTAGTTGTCCTGCAGTACTCTTCATTATGACTGATTCAGGGGCTCTGATCTTCAATTGATGTGTTAAAAGATAAATGAACTGTATTCTGTGTGCATGAGGAAATTGATCTTATTTGATATGGAAAATTGAAATCTTTCCTATCTCTTCTTTCATCTAATTAATTTAGTGTATTTTATTTTGTATGGGTTTTGTTTTGTTTTGTTTTATAGCACTGGGGATTGAATTTAGAGCCTTCATACTGAACTCCATCCCCAGGTACCAACCCCCCTCCTTAATTTTTTTATTTTGAGACAGGTTCTAAGTCACTAAGTTGCCCAGGGTGGGCTTTAACCTGCAATCCTTAGCCTTAGCTTCCAGAGTGCTGGGATCACAGACGTGCACCATAAAGTAAGGTCAGCATACTTTATTTTAATCATATTCAGTGGTAACATATTATAGGTATGTCAAAAACTGTTGATAAAAAGGGTACTGGCTTTCAAAACTTCACAAAACCATCTCTCTGTGACATCAGGAATTAACTGTAAATAATGTTTATGTTTCTAAAAAGTAGGTCAGGAAATTTAAAAATCCACACAGATGTGGATTTATGTATTGAAAATTGCTGTATTTTCTGTGTCACAAAGCCAGAATTGGATGTCTATATATGTCACAATGGCAGTTTATAGCCTGTGCAAGTTGTTCCTCAAACTGAAAAATGCAGATTTTGGTCAACACATGCACTTAGCCTGCATGTATCCTGAATAAATGGCAGTTTTTTCCAAATAGTATCATAATTTTCAATGATTAAATTTTTTGTTTTTTTGTTTTGTTTTTGGTACTGGGGATTGAACTCAGAACTTTGTGCTTATGAGGCAGGCGGTGGAACCACTGAGCTAAATCCCCAGCCCCTTCAATGATTAAATTTTATTCAGTTTGATATGTTCATCCCCAAAGCCTAAAGCAACCAACTATCCATCTGTCAATAGGTTAGTATCACTGTGTTTTGGAACCTTTGGCAGCAGAACCAATGTTGCACAAAAGGTGCATTTGTACAAGCAGTGAGTTGGGAATTGGTATCTCAGTGTTCCCAGCAAAGCAGCAGTTATGCTGCAACTATTCAAAAAGTTTTTCCTGAGATTACCATACAGAGGAAAATCTGTTCAAAACTCTACATCAAGAGTTGAAATGTGGACTCTAATGTACTTTCTTTCATCTCTATTTCAATTGTTTATTAAAGTTGATTACAGTTGCAAAGTACAAATTCCTTTAGCTTCATGATCAAGTAAGAATAATGGATAGTAGAGAATCTCAAGTATTTTCTGTGATTCTAATTTGGCTTTATGGTTATGATGTGGCTCTTCGGTCTGCTAAGAGAGTCTTGCTTTGTTTTATTCCTTTGGTATAAATTAGCATTCTGCCACACTGGATTAAAGTGAGTTTTATTAAAAAGGCCAGATTTGTTCATACAAGGAAGTAAGTGCTATTTTGGTGTACATCAGAAGTAACCGTTATGAACAAGTGAAATTCACTTCACCCCATTTAGCACAACTTAGAAACATACGCTTTGAAAAGCTGCAAATATATGTTTTCTTTATCTGCCTATACTGTTGAAACAAAATAGTAATTGACTTAGTTAAACATAATTATATATTCTATTGCTGAAAGAATTTTAAGATCATCACGTCCAAAATTTTCAAAAGAGTCATTTATTTAGTCTCTACTAATTATTGGAGGAATTATATCAAATATTTTGTATAAACAGATTTATTTGCCTAAAGTCACATGTTTAATTTTAGTGGCAGAATCAGGGATAGGATGCAGATTTCTGGCATATCATTCTTGTGTATTTTAAGTTTTATAAACCATTTACTTGAATCATAAAATAGTCCAGAAATTCTTTCTTCTAATCTCAGTCATGATCGTTGTATTTTACAAAGACTGACAAAGTCCTTCCTGAAAGTGGTATGCATTGTGGTGCTTTTTAAAATTTTGCCTTAAACAATTTTTATGTGGTTCTAGAATTGTTTCTGGAAGCAAATCATGTTTTATGGTAGGCAGCCCAGAAGAGATTTTTACAAGACAGTGTGTACATACTGGAGACTTTTCAAAGCAATATCACGGAACATGTATTGTGTTTTTAATATGGCTAACAATTGACCTGTAAGTTTATGTAAGCAATCTAAAGTACAAAAAGGGAAAGGAAGAGAAATATTCCCATGCCAGCTCAAATGATCCTTGTTAAATCTTGACGATCCTGGCAAAGCATGGCGGCGTGACACTCAGTTATGACTTTGTAGATGCTGTACAGACCTTCAAGAAAATACTGTCTGAAGTTGTAAACATTAACTAGCCCAAGCTGTACTATTGTGTTGTGAGTAGTGACAGAGACACTTTAACAGTTCCCAAATGACTGAGTTTTATTTAAGATGCACAGTTCCAATTTTTTAATAAAAGTTGCCTTGCTCCATTTTTGTCTTCTGATTTCTGCAAATGGCTACAAGTGTGACCCAAACAGAAATGACTATAAATAAAAAGGCAACTTCTTCATTTACTAGCTCCAAGTTTCATATATATAT